CGAAGAAGATGGAGCTTCCGACCATCGATCTGAAGCTTGATGAACCGGCTACTTACCTGAGCTGGTCACGACGAGTGCGATACACCCTTGTAGAGAGGAACCTGGAGGGTTACTTGACAGGAGAGAAAACAGAGCCGGATGAGGACTCGGAGGGAAGAGATGAGTGGAAGTCCACTCATATGTTGGTGTACATCTGGCTCCGCAAGCGACAAAACCATCGAAGAAGTTGGAGCTTCCGACCATCGATCTGAAGCTTGATGAACCGGCTACTTACCTGAGCTGGTCACGACGAGTGCGATACACCCTTGTAGAGAGGAACCTGGAGGGTTACTTGACAGGAGAGAAAACAGAGCCGGATGAGGACTCGGAGGGAAGAGATGAGTGGAAGTCCACTCATATGTTGGTGTACATCTGGCTCCGCAACTCATTGGTCCAGTCAATCGCTGTCACAATGGATGGCATTGAGAAGGTGAAGGATGTCTGGGAGAAGTTGAGGAGGACCTATGATGAAGTGGGAAATAACCTGAGGGCGTTCCAGATCAAGGGAGAGATCGACGCCACAGTCCAGGAAGAGAGAACTGTACAGGAGTATGCCACAGAGCTGGAGTGCCTGTGGCTAGATTATGATCACTTCTCACCTCGGGCAAACTGCAAGGACCCGGAGTGTGAAGAGAGAGAGATCTTTCTACAAGAGAGGACTATGGTGTTTCTCAAGGGGCTGACATCAGAGTTTCTCAACGGACTGCATTGCTGGTAGCTCAGCCAAATATTCCTACACTTGAGGAGGCAGTCTCGGCCATGATCCAGGAAGAGACTCGCATTAGGTTGCAGGCGGAGATAGGTGGACTTCCTGTGGTGAAGTCAGCACTTGCGGCCTCTAGCAACACTGGACCCAAGGGGGAGACTCGGCATTGCTACAATTACGGTGAAGTAGGTCATCTAAGGTATACTTGCACCAAGCCACCCAAGGAAGGAGACTCGGGTGGACGTGGACAGTTCGGAGGTCGTGATCGTGGTCGTGGAGGTCGACGAGGTGGAAGAGGAGCAGTCAATCGGGCGAATCTGATGGTAGCAGAAGGAGAAGAAGCAGCTGAGGTGGTATTTACTGAGGAGGATCATACGCTCCTGGAGATACTCAGGAGAAAGCAAAAAGTAGCAGGGGATGGAGATAGAAGGAGTGGGATTGAGGAGGCATCCACTTCGTTCTTTGCCAGAGGCAACACTGCTACCTATGCTCATCCGACCAAAGGTACTGATGACATACATGCTCTTGTTTCTATGTCTCCTGATAGATCATCAGAATGGATAGTCGACTCCGGTGCGTCTTGACATGTGACAGGTAATGCTAGTGAGTTCTCCTCATATATTCACCTAGCATCGGCTGATAATATCCAAATAGCTGATGGCACATTTCAGCCAGTGGTTGGTAAGGGTACAGTCAATTGTACATGTTCTGTAACTTTATCCAATGTTTTGCATGCTCCTTCCTTTCCAATCAATCTTTTGTCCATTAGTGATATCATATTCCAACTAAAATACATTGTTTCTTTTGATATTCCCAAGGTAATCTTCCAGGAGAAGAGGACAGGACGGAGACTTGGGACTAGCACATGGCATAGCGGACTGTGGTACCTGAATCGTGAAGGGCTGGATTCAGCGTTGGTTTCGATGGTAGAGAAAGCAGGAGTAGGGTCTGAGATGAGTGCTGAGAGTGTGTTGATGCTTCATCACCAGCGTTTGAGACACTCATCCTTTAGTGTTTTAAGTAGGTTGTTTCCATCTTTATTTGAAAAAGCAAATAAACAGGAACTTGTATGCGACGCATGTGAGTTTGGAAAGCTTACTAGAAGCCCTTATGTTAGTTCTGGTCATAAGAGTTCTCGTGCTTTTGACCTGATACATTCAGATGTTTGGGGGCCTTATTCCACAAGTTCTACGGATGTATACAAATATTTTGTTACCTTTATTGATTGTTTCTCTCGTGTTACTTGGTTATATCTGATGAAAAATAAGAGTGAAGTGTTTGGTTACTTCCAAAACTTTCATAGGTATGTTCAGACTCAATACGGAGCAGTGGTAAAGGTATTGAGATCTGATAATGGGACAAAATATACCAACAGAGCGCTTGAGGAATACTTGTCAGAGAAGGGAATACAGCATCAGACGACATGTCCATACACACCAGCTCAGAATGGGGTAGCGGAGAGGAAGAACAGACATCTTTTAGAGGTTGCTAGAAGCATGATAATCTCCATGAATGTTTCAGAAATATTGTGTGGGCAAGCAGTGTTGACCGCAGCGGCATTGATCAACAGGATGCCCTCGAGAATGCTGGATTGGAAGTCTCCGTGTGAGACGTTGAAGGGAGATAATGGTGGGCTTCTTCCACTAAAGGTGTTTGGCTGTGTGTGTTTTGTGAAGGACAACAAACCATCCGTCAGGAAGCTTGCCCCTAGAGCGGTGAAGTGCATCTTTATGAGATATTCTGCTACTTAGAAGGGATATGTTTACTGGAGTCCGGTGGAGAAGAGGCTGTTTGTGAGCATAGATGTGCACTTTCGAGAACTCGAGCCATATTACACTCGGGAGGTAACTTTATCCATTGGTAACTCACCCGATACTAAAAGTATGAGACGAGAGGGAGAGAATGGTGAGAGGCAGGTGAACAACGTGGAGAATAATGCCGAGACATCGATTTCTCTAACGATTCCTTGGGAAGGAGAATTGGTTGAGGAGGAACAGGAGAATGAAGAAGAAGAGGAGAAGGAGACAAGAGGAGTTAGGCCCACGACTTAAGGGGAGCTACTTACCTATAGTAGGAAGGGGAAGCAGATTGCAGGAACAGTACCTACAGTACCACTGGTGCCAAGTCCCTTGGTGTCAAGTCCCTTGCCAACGCATGTCCTGACTCCTGAGACACCTACACCACCATTAGATTCCTCCAAATGTGATATCATTCCTCTCCTTACTCCTCCCACACCAATGTCAGTACGGAGGACTACTCGCAGTAATGCGGGAAATCCTCCCGATAGATATGGTTGCGATCTTACCCAGTTTGTATCATATTCTAACATCCACCCTGCATATGGAGCATTCATTGCATCATTAGACTCTGTTACTGTACCTAACAATTGACAGGTTGCAAAGAAGAATCCAAAATGGAAAGCTGCTATGCACGAAGAGCTAGGGGTTCTTGAGAAGAACCGTACTTGGGAGTTAGTAAAACTACCGAAAGGGAAGAGAGTTGTTGGGTACAAGTGGGTCTTCACTGTGAAGCAGAATCCAGATGGACAGGTTGAGCGCTACAAGGCTCGTCTGGTGGCAAAAGGATATAGTCAGACATATGGCATCGACTATGATGAGACTTTTGCACCGGTGGCGAAGATGAGCATTGTTCGGACCTTGATCTCTCTGGTAGTAAATGGTGGATGGAAGCTACACCAACTAGATGTGAAGAATGCATTTCTTCATGGAGATCTCGTGGAAGAGGTATATATGGAAATTCCGCCAGGATTCGACACAGATCAGACAGTGGGTAAGATCTGCAGATTGAAGAAGTCTCTCTATGGGCTGAAGCAGTCTTCCCGTGCTTGGTTCGACAGATTCAGGAGGGCTATGTTAGGTATGGGGTACCAGCAGATTAACGCCGATCATACAGTATTCTTTCGACGGAGTGAAGGCCACATCACCATGCTTGCGGTATATGTGGATGATATGATTATTACAGGGGATGATGAGAAGGAGATTGTCCAACTCAAAGTGAGACCGGGTGAGGAATTTGAGGTGAAAGCTCTTGGCTTGCTTCGATACTTTCTTGGAATAGAGATAGCTCGAGGAGCGGAGGGAGTTGTCCTATCCCAGAGGAAGTATGCACTGGATCTTCTCAAAGAGACAGGGTTGTTAGGGTGTAAACCTGCAACTACACCGATCGACCAGAAGTTCAAGCTGGGTGCTGAGGCTGGAGAGCCAGTTGATCATGACAGATACCAGAGACTGGTGGACATGTTGATCGATTTGAGTCACACACGTCCCGATATCTCTTTTGCAGTGAGCGTGGTAAGTTGCTATATGCATGATCCGAGGAAGGGTCATATGGACGTAGTGTACCAGATTCTTAGGTATTTGAAGAGTGCCCCCGAAAAAGGGCTAATATTCAGGAAAAATGAACATATGAGCATTGAGGGTTACTGTGACTCGGATTGGGCTAGTTGTGCTGATGGCAGGAGGTCCACCTCAGGATACTGTATTTTTGTAGGAGGCAACTTGGTCTTGTGGAAGAGCAAGAAGCAGTCAGTGGTGGCAAGATCTACAGCTGAAGCAGAGTATAGAGCTATGACCTTGGGAGTCGCGGAATTGTTGTGGTTGAAGAGTATGCTGGTGGAGCTGAAGCTGGATCAAGGAGCAAAGATGAAACTGTGGTGTGATAACAAGTCAGCCATCAGTATCGCTAATAACTCAGTGCAGCATGATAGAACCAAACACATCGAGATCGATAGGTTCTTCATCAAAGAGAAGTTGGACAGTGGACTACTGGAGTTATGTCATGTTTTAACTAAAGACCAGACAACAGATTATCTGACTAAAGGACTTAGCTCGGTAGATATGATTAGAGGATGTGACAAGATGGGCTTAGTGGATATCTTTCGCCCATCTTGAGGAGTGTTAACATATTAGTATAGTTAAGGAGGTTATTTGTAAGATGTGTTTGTAGGAGCCTATATAAGCCTATGTTATCTCATTAATAAAATAGGGTTTTCTCAATTTCTTCAATAACATCATTACATAAACAATTTTCGCTTCATTTAGTATCTTTTCTTCCTTGATGATAAGTTACTAAACTTCTTATGCACAAAAAACTCCGAAGTTAGAGTGAGATTTGAAAGTTATAATATTATTATACTCATACCAATTATCAATGTGCAATTATCAATTACAATTTCCATTCTACCTCTTTGCAGCCAAAAATATTTAAAAAAACAAAATGAACCGAATAACATATATATTCAAAAAAATGCAAATAAACTTGATAACTCGAACTAACCGCTGAGCAATTACTAGCTTATGTTTCGTTGACACTTGATAGTAAATTTACATTGACAAAATGATTATGGTACAAGGAATAAAATACAACTACAGTAATTCACAAGCTCCTCAGGACTGATCTCTTCATTAATCAGATCTTTTAAGAAGGCTCAACAACACACCAGCACCCAAACTTGTGGCGACAACTCCAAGAGAAACCTCGGTTGATATATGATAACCTGTGGCAACGGATTCAATATATGATTCACAAATAGGAAAGCCACAAGGAAAAGGAACATTTTGTATAAAATCGCAAGAGCGAGGTATCCATGTTCGCATGCTTGAGTGCTACTTTTCATTTTTTTCTCTCGGTTAATTGCAGATACATCCACACCATTGTACTGTGGTCGTGTCGTCACTTATACTCAGCTAAACTTTTTTATTTGCACTTAGATGAAACTTAGACGGGTTATCATTTTGCCCTCAATTTAGAGAGAAATTTATTTTATTTTTTGGCTAATTTGAGGGGAAAAGGCAATTTATAATTTATCATTGCGACATCTCAACATAATCCAGTAAATAATGTCAGTATGGAGTTCACAGTGCGTAAGTGCTAATGAAACAGTTTAGGAGGGTACATATCTACAATTAACCCGTTTTTGCACTTTTGAATGACACCACCACCAAGGGAAAGAAATATATTATCTCATAGAAAACATGATGATTATTTTGCCAATTTCAGTTAAGGCCGTTTGGTTTGCATTGTAAAAGAATGAAATTGGTTTCCATGTTTGCCACCTCAGCTTTGGAAATCTCAGGTCAAAAATGGTTTATATTTCCTATGTTTGATACATTAATTTATGTAAAAGAGATCTTGAAAAGCTCCGCCACTTCAGTTTTTTCCTGAAACCCATTTCAGCCCCAAAACCTCTAAAAATGGGTTTCAAGTCATGAAATAGGTTTCTTGATTTTTGGTAAATCAACCAAACAGCCCCTCTGACATTTGACACAAGGATGACAATGTCAGTTTTACCATGAAATATCGACGTAGAAGCTTACCAAAGAAATCAAGAATCATCTTTGTGGCAATAAAGCCTAATACAACTCCAATAGCAGGCTGCAAGAGAATAAGAATCTTTCATCAATCACAAGACCAGAATCATGGAATCTTAAAATGATGTATTGGTTAAAAAATAATAATAATAACTCAACAGAATTATCTTTGTAGAATAATGTACAAGTTGGTCATCCGCAATTTGCAATGTGATTGTGCTTAATTCCATGAACAATTTGGAGAAAAGCTTTTAATTTCAGAGCTGGCCGGTCACTGAAGAGGCAGTTACCTACTTCAAAACTATATAATGGAAACTCAACATGCAGCAGAGTAACTATCATACTATTTTTTATTTTTTATTTTAAGAATCATAAAAGTTCTTTTGGTGTAAAACTCTCCCGGCCCCTTTCTTTTACCTAATTTATTAGTCCTTTTATTGATTTTTGCACTGATATTAAATGATATCTTCACATTAACTGTAAGATGATTGATTCTTCATCTTTGTGAGTGGCTTGAATGGCTTTGTTGCATTTAACTGATATCAATAATTCAAAATTCTCTTTTTTATATTTTATGGCCATAAGGTTAAGTGTAGTCAGTATGAACAACCATGCGTAAAGGGAGTGCAGGAACATCTTGTAAACTCAATAATAAGTAACCGTCTCACCTGTAAATATTCCAGATCTGACATACTTCCAGATATAATTAAATATAACGATCTTAACCCTGCATGAATGATAGAAATAAAATAGTCAACTATTGCATTCATTTGAGTAAAGAGAGAGCACAGTTAAAGTTCAAAATACAAATAAAATCCAAATGCATATTGATACATATATGTCCTATATGGATATAAGATAGGATATTAACAGAAATCAATCTAAAAATATGAAGTGCTTATAGTCAACACTTTTCTAAATGTATCTGTGCTGCTCTGTGCCCCTCTAGTAATTAAATTTTACTATATTACCCTCCAGCAACTTTTGTGCATGCTTTTCTTTATGACTCTTCACCTGTTACCCTCAATTGAAATATAGAGACCTTTTCAAATTGATATGCTAACCATGCATTTTTTGGCCCCTAAGATAGTGAAATATAGAGATCTTTTCTAAAAAAGTAGAAATAAGAAGGTCAAATATTTTTCTAACTCAATTTGAACTGAGCCAAATATTTGAGTTTGGATTATTAAATCATATTTGACAGCTTTATGGATCTCAATATGGTCCTAGAAAGAGATTGGTTTCAAATCAGATTTAGATATGGATCCTTACAGTTACGAACTCAATAGCTGTAATAGAAAAGTATTTTAGATTACATCATTCATTTAGTTCTAGTTGCATCATTCTTTCCTTTCTAAACACCATAGTGTCATAATAGTCAAGTCTAAAGTTTGGTGCACTCATGATCAAACTTACATGTGCTACATTAAGGGGGAAAAGATTATAAAGACCAATAAAGTGAAATTATTGTGACTTGCCACTATTATACTGCAACTGAATAGCACAGTAAATGGAACTACCTGTAATGGCAAATAAATTTGAAGTGAAAACTATGAATGGATCCCTTGTAACACCAAAAACTGCCGGTATTGAGTCAATCTGCAAACATAAAAAAATGATGTCATTTGCGATTCTCATTCTCACTTGCTTTGGGGAATAATGTTCAATTGAATGGTCGTATGGATAACCTACTGCGAAAGCTATATCACTAAGCTCAATAACTGCAACTGTGAGGAGTAAAGGTGTAGCCTGCATCACAATAATTAAGAAGGTCGGATAATAGAATTGGTAGATTTAATTTTTATTACTTATAATTTAAGACACTACTATATCTATCTAGTTTGTTATGCAATAAGCTTGGCATCAGACTGCAGATAAGAAATAAAAGCTCACATCTGAAAGTTTATAGGTAACATCTTAACAGACTTACTTTCCGTACACCCTCTTGAATAGTAAAGAAGCGATCTCCATCGTAATATGCTGTAACATCAAAGGTAAATTAATTCAAATAGATTTTTATGAGGGAGGTAGAAAGAGCTTCAAATGAAATCCCATAGCTAATTGCCAAAGGAGATAACATTCGCATCACATTCACATAGCTCCTCAATCTCCTCGTACTAAATTTCTAGCACTAGCACCGAAAGTTAATTGACAATTGTGTGATGGTAGATTGCACAGAAAGCAAAAGAGAAAATGAGAACTTCTCTTCAAGGAAAGTATAAACTTATTGATACATAAAGGACAGGCTGGGGTGTAGCCTTACCACATGGAGATTGATTAGCATTATGTGACGGTTGATAAGAGAAAACAATTACTAAAAGTTACCAGAAGAGGAGGCAATTAAGTGGTCCAGGTTAGCTTAGGTTTAGGCTATGTTGCCTGGGTACTTCTATTAGGAAGCCACACCCGTGCCCGACATGTACCCGTAACCATACCTAAACCTCTTGGACAATTCTTGAATATAAGAATATGTTTATTTGGGCCTATAATCAATTATATAATACATGTTTTAATATAAACACTCCTTGTACACTTCTTGGGTGTATATTCTACACTTCTTATCTATTTCTTATATACTGATCTTATATAAATGAAAAAACAATATTGATCTTATGTAAATTATTAATTTCAATACATATAAATATACATAACATGCATATATATAGCCGTGTCCCATACCCTACCTTTTCCAACTTTTCTGTGTCCCGTACCCCTACCCGTACCCATGCAACCTAGGGCTTAGGTCATTATCCGGTCAGCTTGATTGTAGTTGACCCTTATCTGACCGGTTAATTAAATGATTAAATTCCTCTGACCTGCAATCAACCCATTCATACCCCCACCTGTAAAATCAGTGGATAGTTGAGATATTATTTAGAACTATTAACTGTATATAGGAGTAGAACCGCAGCCTGTGACATGAACATAAAAGCTATCAACTCAAGACTTTTTTTTTTTGTCAGAAGACTTGAGACAATGCATGTTAGCATGTTCAGAAAGAAAAGCAAAATGTGATTGTAGCAGGCCCTCAACATGTTCAACTAGATTTAAATTTCCACAGATGAACAAGCAATGATCATGGGACAACTCATTTTCCGTGATCACATTGTCAAATAATTCTCCATATAAATTTTTTGGATCAGAGGATTGCACTTAGCATCTTTTTTTAGGATCAAGGGTTACTTTGGGTCAAAGGACTCAGCTGCATGTTTGTTTTAGGATTGCACTGAGAATCAGCACAGGACAACCCCCATCCTGACTTTTGGGTCCTAATAAATAATTTATTCAGATCAGTGCAATACATAAATTATTCTCCGTATACACTATTCAGTGACTAAGGCTTCAGAAGTGTGGTGTTTTAGACACATACCATCAAGCAAGTTAACTCCCAATTTTCCCATATCTGTAGCGTAAAGCATAGAGAAAGCAACTAGAAAATAACATGAAAGATAGCAACTCACATCGAAATATGGACTTGACTAGTATTAACCAACAGAAAATTCTGATGTAAGATAAAAGAAGATAGGATAAATTGACTAATTAGGATAAGTTACCAGTAACTGGAATGAACTTCTGGCATGTTTTCACGATAAAGTTATCAGAAAGGTCAGTCTCCTCCTCTTCAGAAGAAAATAGCTGTTGTACAAATGAACTAGACGTCATTAAATCATCATGCAGAAATATATCCAATATTGTTTTACATGTGCATGCAAACCAAGGAAAACCATAGAAAAAGAACCATGAATGAGACATTTTCCTCCTATCAAGAAAGGAAAGCATGATTCTCAGAAATGCCTAAGTGGTGTTCTCTCATNTACCCCCCCCCCCCCCCACACACACACACAAAAAAAAAAAAAGAAGAACTTGAAAAAGTTCTCCAGTCCAGATAACCGGATAATCATGTCCCTCTTGGATTTTTATTCCCAACATTTTACATGCAATAGAGAATGCCTTTGGGGCTGTAGCTTCAATGAAATAAAACATGCCTAATGAAAAAAAAAGGTTATGCATATATGCTATAGAAATCTTAGATATCTAGACTAACACTGAATGCTCTAACCAGTATATACTCATATATAAGTGGGGCAAGGTCCAGATCCGGTCCTCAAACCTGTATTAGATGAGATTGTCATCTCGGTCGACCTGGCTAAAATGCAAAACTGAAAATATCTGACACACACCCAGCGACTCACTTTGGATGGAGTACAGGTCAGTCCATTGGATTGGATTGAAATTGATGCTTGTATTGGATAATATAAACCAAAGTGACCAGGAAGATATGATTCAACAATCCAATCATAGAAAATTTTATAGTTTATTAGTTCACCTTAATGCATATATTTTCAAATTATTTACCTACTGAAGAAAATAAGCTAGAGAGTGGTCCAACTATACACTAAAAAGAGGACAGAAGATTAAGTCTATGTATTGTGTTTCTTATGTAAAGAGCTTGCCCATGTAAAAAATCTTTGACTCTTCAACATATTACTCCCATTCACTAAACTTAGAATAAATACTTTGCTAGGTGATATCATTTCCTTTTTATAAGTAAATTTGGTTCGTAGAATGCTAAGGATATTATTAAATTTCACTTAAAAGAAATCAAGGTTCATGGAAATATTAGTACACAGAGGAAGTGAAGTGTCTGATACTTAAATCTCAAGTTAAAGAGCAGAATCAATTAAATTAAATGATAAGCAACCAATAACATTTGTGTCTTGATATCAACGTGTTGAATTGAAGAAGAAAAATCACCTTGTAAGATGAGAATAGAAGAATTGAGGCCAGTAATAAGTTCACTGCTTCAAATCTCTAAGGATATATGAGACATCACAAAGCAAAAGTTAGGTGAGGAAACTGAATGATTTGAAAAAAGTAAATCATGAAAGCAGCAGTAATCACTACTAACCTGAAGGGTTGCAGTGCCAAGCAGGATCATTATAGCACGAAAGACAACTGCACCAGCAATACCATAAGAGAGCACTCTGTTCTACGCTTGAGTGTAGCAAAAACTTTATAACATAGATGGTAACACAAGAAAAGGATTATTGATAATTATTCAAAAGGAAGATCCTACAATACCTGGTATTGTACTGGCACATTGAAGTATTTGAAGATTAAAACAAAAACAAAGAGATTGTCCACTGACAAACTCTGTTCTAGGAGGTACCTGCAATATGGTACACCACACTAAGATACATGTGATCAATAATGAGAATACATTGGCAACAGTTCAAACTTCAAAAAGTATTACCAAAAGAAGTAACGGAACAAACAACAAAACTAATACTTGGATATTACTCTTAATATGCCTGAGATCACTTCAGTAACAGTAAAAAATATGCATGAACAACACACTATATCGCAAAACATATAACATAATGATTATTAAAATACACTTTTTTTCTATTCACTCTGCTCATATTTATGAATGATGCCTCTATATAATTATATTCAAGAGGAATGCAGTTATTATTCATTAGTCATTTGGGAATGGGCAATTACTGTTAATAAATTTGTCCATTAGTAATTTATTAACATAATGGAGAAGATAGCCTTAACATAATGAAATAAATAGCCTTAACGAAACTGAATGGAATCTGACCCCTTAACAAAACAGAATGGAAGAATGGGATTAATTCCACCCACCCAAAAATTTGGGATAATGGCTTTTTTGTTGTTGCACTCACTAATAACTTATCTAATTCTGAGAAATTTTGAAACTAAAATGGAGGGTGCTGCTTCCTAGTTGCATAAAGGATGAATTTTACAACGCAAATACTCTTCTCAGAAAATGGGACACCCATGCTACGAAACGCTGTAGTTTATAAAAATACAATCTCAAGATATGCATAGTTCCATTCATGTGATACTAACTCAAGATATGCAAACTCCATTCTGGCAATGCATGTGCCAAAAAAAACTGTGTGTGTTAAGTATAATATGCATCAAACATACCCGGCAAAATATTCAGATGCTTTATCGACGCCTTCCTTTAATCCCAAAGCAATACCAAAAGTCACAGAAGCGCTCACCTACAAAAGATGAATCGTACCCTCAACAAATATAAAAGCTGATATTAATAAAACGAAGATCATGGAAACTGCCTTCCTTCACATAAATCAAATTTCTAATAAAATCAAAATGTCCAGAACTCACCCATAAGGCAACGCTTCTGATTGCAGAAGATCTATCGGTTGATGGATCTCTTTTTCTATCCGAAGAGGAACCTATGATTGCCTTTTCAGCATTCTCTTTTTTGTCATGTGATTGAGGATTGTTCTTCAACATTTCTTCTGCAGATCCATTTCACCACATATTATTTTCAAACTAAGGCAAGCTGCAGAACAGTGATTTGTTTTTAATGATGGCTCTGACAAATAAGGTAATTAAGTTTAGAGTATAAAAAAGTAGTAGTTTTAGTAGAAGAAGAAGCTCATGATTGTAAGCATTACTCTAGATGGCAGTAGATTAAATTTTAACTATAATATTATAATACAAATCAATCAATAGATAAAAACTAGTCAGCAGCTTAGAACAAGTATAAAAGGCAGTAACCACTACTCTAAGAACAGTGCACAAATTTTAAATCGAGAAAAAGGCTGCAAGGACAGCAGGAGAGGCAGTGAAGGATGAACTCAAACCCAAAATAGAAAAGTATTCAATCCAGTTATATATAGAACGAGGAGAAACTTCCAAAGAACAGATATATATAGAAAGAGGAGAAACTTCCAAAGAGTGTAATGGATGGATCTTATACCCCAAATTTAACTAAATCCTTATCCAGGTGGAAATTAGAGGATGTTTTCTATATGTAATAGATCGAAAGGATGGTTGATCAGATAATAGCAAAGAACTTAGAATGGAAGGACTGTAGATGTTCTATTAGAACTATTAAAGTCCACTAAAAAGTCATTTATGTGTCTCCTGTTAAACAAAAAAATATTACAAATTCTCATTTATCTTTCAAAAGCTACAACTACTTCCCTTAATATAGGGATATAATAACAACAAGTTTATTGTGTAGTCAACGAGGGACTTGTTGGCCTCTTTGTTTTGATGATATTTAACAAACAATTTACCACTAATGTTATTTGTCTAGTGTTGGTATATTTCTATTTATTGTAGACAAACAACTTGTTGGAGGTTGGATGGATTACGCCATAACGATCATATCAAATGAAGGTTGACGGATATAGTGGTTGAAACCTACGCAATTCAAAGTTAAAGATTCAAGTTCAAGCTTCATCCGCAAGATTACCAAGTCAAGCTATTGAAAATCAAGATCAAGCTTGGGTAAATTTAGTTTTAGGTTTTTATATTATGTGTGTTAGTACTTTAAGCTCAATCATATACACACATACACGTTTTGGCTTTGTATATATATAGTTATATATATACATATATGTTTTGGTTTGATAGTTTTCAAGTTTTAATATGAAACAATTGAATATAATTAGAAAACATATTTTTGTTTCATACTTATATGCATATATATGATTTCATCAATATCAATTTTATTTAGTTCAATGAAATCATGTTTTAATGCATTATATGTGTATTTTGATAAAATACTATATTCATTATTTATAGACTTTATAACAATAGTTTACATCTTTCTTCAAGTCTATAAAATTATTTTGTAATGTTTCAAAACATAGTCAAGCTAAAATGTCAAAACTCATATGTTCACATTTTCATGTTTTTGAACATATTTTACAAAATGATGATATTTTACAAATGGGAAATGCAATTTGGAAAATTCCTTTTATAATATGTTCATTTACATGTTTATATACATTTCCCAAAGTTTCATTACTTTTGAACATCATTTGTTATTTTTAACAATTTTCCAAAAGTCAGAAAAACACTTTCAAAACCTATATTTTCATATATCAGTTTGCGGTCGAACGCCACGGTCAACCGCGCTTAAGTTTTTCCCTCAGGAGTCAACTGAAACTTTCGCGGTCGACCGTGACGATCGACCGTCAGTCCTTAAGTTTTCACGGTCGACCGCCACGGTCGACCGTAGCTTTCTCTGGAAGTTTTTTCAGGTTTGAATATGCCTCGCGGTCGATCACGAGAATTTCACGGTCGATCGTCGCACTGTCTTTTCATACACCAACGGCTATTTCTTGCAGCTGTTGTTTGGGGCTTTTTGGATTTTTGTTTTTGGGTTTTTGGCTGAGGTTTTGGGAGGCTATAAATACCTCATTGATCTCAGTTCTTAAGATAACTAAGAGAGAGTTTTAAAACAAGTTTAAAGAGTTTTAAACAAGGGTTTAAGTTTGGTTTAAGTTTGTTTAAGAAGCTTTTAAGCATTTGAAAGTTTGAGTTTGTGAAATCAATTTCACAAGAGCTTGAGGAGATCATCTATTGGTGTTTGGGCATCCAACTATTCTCCCTCTACCTCTTGATCTATTGAGAAGTTTTCTAAACTCTATTTCTAGCTTTACATCTATTTGTTTGATTATCATTTTATTAAAGCTAGTTTTATATTGAGTTTAGTTGATTTGATTTCACTCATTGTTTACACACACCCACTTGAGCTTATTGTATTTACATACATTATATATTTAGGTTGGTGAGAGTTGTAATAATTGAGTGTGAGCTTTCATTGTGTTCTCATCCATATTAGAGAACAATCATTTATTGTAATTATGCTTATTGTGAGATTCACTTTGTAATACACTTGTACACCGAGAGAAGTATATGATGAGAGTCGGGGATCGTCCCAAGAGGAGTGGTGTCGGTTGACGAATCTAGGGAGAGGTTATATCCGAGCACTTGAGGGAGACACGTCTAGGTCCAACACTTGAGAGGGTATAGAGTGGGATTGTAAGAGTGTTGATTGTAAAATTTTCGGTTAGCTAGAAAACCGAGTGTGAGGTGTAAACGTTGTTCGGGTAAGCGTAGAAATCCCGGTTGTGATAGTAGATTTCTCCCCGGGAGTGAGGAGCGAAGACGTAGGACGGAAGGTCCGAACTCCGTGATCATTTGCTTGTGTTTGAGTTTGCTTTAGCGTTTCATTTGTGCTTAATGTTCATTATAGTCTTGTCGCCATTGTCAATTGCCCTATCACTTTTGTAGATTGTCTATTTCACCATTGTGTTAGTTTATATATCCTTGCATATATTTCATAATATATCTCATTGTTAGGATATATTTATTTGTTCATATTACTTATTTTTGCTTGTAACATATTGCATATCTATCTTACAAGAATAATCTATTAATTAGTTTTAATTGGCATAAAATCGGATTAGATTAGCATAAGACCCTAATCACCCCCCTCTAGGATCTAACAATTGGTATCAGAGCCTAATCACCCCCCTCTAGGATCTAACAATTGGTATCAGAGCTTGGTGCTCTTTGATTTAAGGTCTAATCACCTTGAGTTAAAGATCCAAGTTATCTTTTTATGCTAATCTTGTTTAGATTTCTTTTGTATCTTGTTTGCATACATTTTCTTATTATGGACATATATTGTACATCTTGTTTAGGCTATGATCCTAATGTTGCTCCTAAAATAGATAATCTCCCCTATAAAAAATGGTGTTCTAGATTTAACATATTTGTTAGATTTAAACAATTCGATTTATGGGAAGTTATTGAAGATGCTTATATTGTACCCACTTCGAAAAAATTCAAGTGGAGTAAAAATGATAAAAGAATGTTTAATATGAACAAGTTTTTATTAGAATATTTGCTTAACGCTTTTGACTCATCATTTTCTAACAAATTTGTTCATTTTGATAGTGCTTACACTTTATGAAAATTTATTGAAGCACATCAAGACGACTTGGAGGAGATTCGACGCGTTGTGGCCGAATCGACTTCAAGTTCATGCGGAGTCTCATCATGCACACGGTCACTAGACAATAGCCCTAGTGTGGTAAGCGATTCGAAATCCGAATATGATTTATCTATTAATGAACTCGTTTGTGCATATGATAGTTTAATGCATGCCTATACTAAGTTGCATAATAATTTTATTGATCTTAAAAGCAAGCATGTAGATTTAAAATCCGATCATGAGTCGCTAGCTTCCAAACTTGATATTGTTGTTAAAGAGAAAGTTATTTTAAAAGAAAACAATGAGTTATTAAGTTTGGAAAATAATAACATGTCTTCATCTATTGCTAGCTTAACTCATGCTAATAATGATGCCATGATAGAAGTAAAAACTATTAGAAATGAGTTTAATTCATTTAGAAATGATCATGTTTCATCTACTTCCATTTTCAATGCTTGTATGCATAATGATGAGTTGAATAATGTGAAAAACCGCATATCTTGTTTAGATTCAACCTTAAACACATGTATTGATAATCATAAGAAACTTATGGACAAGTGTGCTAAATCTAGAGCTATAACTTATAAATCACCTACACACTATGCATACTTGTATAGCAAAGTTTACAAGTGCTCCATTTGTGATCGTAAAGACCATTTAGCTAAATTTTGCTATGATGCACAAAAACATAAGAATATTAATCCTTCTTGTGCATCTCATCAAGTTTCTTTATCACATGTACACACATGCACCAATTGTACATCATAAGCAAGCTAATGTGTTTAAATGTGATTTTTGTGATCGATTTGGTCATTTGGCCAAATTTTATTTTGATTTAAAGAGAGTTTCACATTTGCAAAATAATTTTCAAAGACCATCCATGTTTGCAAATGTTTCTAATGTTCCCCGTGCACAACCATTTGGTCAACGCAATTTATTTCAACCTTTTCATTGCAAAAATTACAATCGTAAAGGTCATTTATACAATTTTTGTTTTGACCGTATCCGTGCACTACATGTGCCCAAACGGGTTCATAACCCTAGGGTTTTGAGCTTTAATGATAGGGGTCATGTCCCTAAATAAACCGGCACCAAGAATACTTAGGTGCCAAAATAATTTTTAAGCCAAGAATTTTAGTATTTTTCTTTTTCTTTTTCTTGGTTTCGAAAAATATATTTTAAATTTTTATGAAAACAATTTATTTTATTAGTCAAATTCTTTTGTTTTCATGATTATTGATTTTGTTTTGATGAGAGGTTTGTATTTATACAACCCCCAGATTTATTGGGTGTTTATTCCCAAACCTTGTTTATCGGGTGCTAAAATCTTTATATGGGTTGAGACAAGCTTAAGAGCTTGATATGGTTGCCTCTCTTATTTTTTTAAAAATCAATGATGGTTTGGTTTTATAATATTATATGATTTAAATATTGATTTATGATTTTATTTGAGTGATTTGTTTTCATTTGAATTTTTTTTCATGATTCTCATGTGTTTCA